GGGGGCTGTGGTCAGCTACAGCTACAGGGGGCTGTGGTCAGCTACAGGGGGCTGTGGTCAGCTACAGGAGGCTGGCTCCTTACTATCATTCACAGCTAAATACGTTAAAACCAACCGCAACAAAACTGTGACAAACAACAGCAAAATGTGAAACATTTTGGTGGCTCTTTTGAGAAAAAAACTACACATTTCAGTCCAGATTCAGAACATGTGACAACAACACCGTTCAAATCTCCTGTTAGCCTCTGAGAGCTAACTAGTGCTCGTCCTGTTGGCTTGATGCATTTGATCAAAATCATAACAACACAACACAATAAAGACACAATAAAGACACCGGATCCTGCCTTCTGCTGCATTAAGTCGGTTTAAAACATAATTACCTGATAGATTGTACCTCATTTTTCGTTACATGCTTGTCCATGAAAACAAAAAACTGTGGAGTTCCACAATCTTCTGTGCTTTTTATCTTCCTTTTTGATAAAGTTTATAGTTAGATAACCTGGTTCTTCAACATTAAAAAACACAATGACTCTGTATGAACTGGACTAATTTGGAATTTCATCAATTTGAAGGGCCTTGAGGGGACATTGTTGTAATTAGTATGATTTATATTTAAATAAACGTTTTTGTGCTCAGTGGTTATATCGTGTTTGGGGTCTGGCTTTGAGGGTTTTGAAACTGTTCTTAAAGTTTAGCCTGGATAATTATTAACTACAGTGTAAAGTAGAAACTGCGTAAAGATATGAACAAAAACTTAAAGGAACAAGGACTTCTCCCAGTTCCAGCGTTTCGGACAGTGGTCCATAGATAAAATGGATAATTACAGTTCTCTGGTTTTCATTTCATATTAGCACAAACTGGGCAAATATTGACTTGTTTTCTCTCCCATTTGCTAATGCTAAGACAGGGTTAAATTCTGGCTAAATAACCTCCATAATCCCATTACGGGAAATGTTTCAAGACAAACAGCAGTGGGGTCACTATCAGATCTGCTTTTCAGTGAGAGCCTATGATTCAAATCATCTGCTTAACCCGGAATAGCTTTAAAAACTCAGTACATCTCCTCTGAACTGGGCTCAAGTTGTGCAAAAATCTGCTCACATATTACCACAAAAACGCTCAAACACCTTGGAAGGCGGCCTCCATCTTGACAGTGAGCCGGGGTTGGACGGGGTCATTTACTGGCCTTTCGCTAACCGCGGGAGTGACCGGCCCCTTTGAACGAGAGACACACAATAACACCAGAGGGACGCGGTGGAGATGGCGGGGGTGGGCGGGGGCTGTCATGCGGCGTGGGCAGCTGGGAAGCAGCGAAGCGTTCGGCCCGTTTGGCAGCTTTACAACGCGGAACGCAAAGTGCCGGGAGAAAGCCAGAAAGCGAAAAAAAACGTCATAAATGACTCCTGTGACCAGCCAAAGCTATGCAGTGATGGAAGGAGTGGGAGACAAAGCTGATTTGATTCCATATCATACTTTTTGCATGAAAATGACTGCACTTTGTTTTTTGTATGCATTGCTTGATACTCTATTTTGTTTGATTGTAAGACTATGAGCTATTAAATATTTTATTAGTCA